AAAATATCAGCTAATAAAGACAATAATGCAGCATTGAGGGACAAAAAAGGCTATTAAGCTAATGGAAAACTAACTGCACAATGAAAGAAGTTGTTCCTTATCAGTAATTACTTTAAATGTAAATGGGTTAAACTCTTAGTCAAGGAAAGAGATTGGAAAAGGATAAAAACACATGATCCAAACATATGTCGTCTGTAAGAGGCTCACTTTAGCTCCAGAGATGTTCAAAGTGAAAGGATGGAGAAAGACATTCCACACAAAACACTATGGCAGTTTCTCCATAAAATAAAATTTTAAAAAATTATTATATAACCTAGCAATTAATTCCCCTTCTGGACATATACCCAAAAGAAGTAAAAGCAGAGCCTCAAAGAGGTATCTGTACCCCCATAATCACAGCAATATTCACAATAGCCAAAATCTGGAAACAACCCAAGTGTCAACTGACAGATGAATGGATAAAAAAATGTGGTATACACATACAACAGAATATTGTTCAACCTTAGAAAGGAAGGAAATCGTGTACTATGTGACAACATGAGTGAACCTTGAAGACATCACGCTGAGTGAAATAAGCCGGTCATAGAAAGGTAAACACTGTGTGATTCCACTTACATGAGGCTATTAGAATAGTCAAAATCATAAGGACAGAAAATAGAATGGTGGTGGCCAGGGGCTGGGAAGAGGGGAGAGTAAAGAGTTATTTTTCAGTGGGTATAGAGTTACTGTTCTATAAAATGAAGAGGTTCTGGATATGATGGTGCTGATGATTGCAAAAAAACATAAATGTACTTAATACCACTGAACTGTACACTTAAAATGGTTAAGATGTTAAATTTTATGTGTATTTTAATACAATAACAAAAAATATAATTTCAAAAAGAAAACCATTTATTAACCTTAAAAAAAGACGTATTTTAACGCTACTGTAATCAAGACAGTGTGGTATTCACGTAAGAATAGACAAATAGGTCAATGGAACAGAATAAAGAATCCTGAAATAGGCCCCCATTAACACAGTCAACTGCAACAAGGATGCAAAGTCAATACAACGGAGCAAAGAAACTCTCCTCAACGAACGGTTCTGGGACAATGGGGCATCCACGTGCAAAAACATGAACTAGACACAGACCTCACACCTCCACAAAATTAATTCACAAACCTAAATGTAGAAGCCATAGAACTTCTGGAAGGCAACGTAGGAGGAAAGCTAGATGACCCTGGAGATGCAGAGGACGTTTTAGATATGACACCAAAGACGTGGTCCATGAAAAAAGAATCAATTAATTGGACCTCCTTGAAATTAAAAACTCTGTTCTGTGAAAGACAATATCTGAATGAGAAGGTAAGCCACAGACTGAGAAAATATTTGCAAAAGACACATCTGAAAAGGACTGTAATCCAAAATATACAAAGAACTCTTAAAATTCAAGAAGAAAACAGCACATAAAAAATAGGCCAAAGAACTAAACAAGAAGATACATAGATGCCAAGTAAGCCATACGTCCTCAGGGAAATGCAAGTTCCATCAACAAGGAGTCACTGCTGCAAGTCTATTAGAATCTACACGTCTAACCCAGAACAGATGACGCCCAGTGCTGACGAGGACATGGAGCCACAGGAACTCGCAGTCACTGTGTGTGTGTGTGTGGGGGGGGGGGGGGGGGAGATGCAGAGGGCGCCATCCTGGAGGACAGCTGGGTGGTTTCTTACAAAACTAACACGCTCTCCCCATATGACCCAGCGATCGCGCTCCTTAGCACTTACCCAAAGGAGCTGGGAACGTTTGTCCACAGTCCCCTGCACACGGATGTTATACTGGCTTTACTCACAATCGCCAACACTTACTAGCAACCAACACATCCTTCAGTAGGTACATGAATCACTGTGCTCCATACAATGC